GGCCCCATTAAACTGCATAGGCATGGCCTGCTCTGTGTCTCCCGTTACCTTATTTACTAATGTAAACACACACAATGTTGCAACCGGTCGGATGTTACACGTCATTGTACAGTGATATTTTGATTTGGAGATCTCTTGCATGTAGTATCAATAAAGCAGTATCATTACTGTAGTTGGTTAATATATGCAACAAAAATACACCTACAAAGCAACTATCCAATGTCTGTCATTAAAGCTGTTGATGGTACATTGTAGGACAGAATAATGCTTAAACTTAAGCTACTTGTTTGCCTTCCTTTCTCCTGCATTTTCACCTAATTGTGTATTTAATATTAGTATTTATACATCTTTATTATACGTTTGGTACCTGTTGATTTTACACACTTTTCACTTAAATAGTTTCACAATTATTTAATATACATTTTTTTTTAAATATTTGATGTGTTTTGTGGGCTAGTGGTTTATCCACACAAGAAAAATATGTTTGTGCACTTACCCAAGATTAAACAATTTTGTGCAGGAATGTTTTGCCACCATGGCGACCAAATGGCAGTGTACACAAAATCAGAAAAATCTGGGTGTGCCAGACATCTGCAGTCTGGTGTGAATAGTCTTCACCACTGCTTTTTCTTCTGTCTTTCAGTGAGTCATACCTGTGTTTGTCCTAAGCAAAGCTGTCACTGTAGGAATGGAGAACGACTGTGAGCGTGATTAAAATTCATCAGAGTACCTCTACTGCCATCTACTGTCGGCTCTGGTTTTCCACAATGAGAAGTGTGCACTTGTGCAGTGGAGAAACTTTCCTCTGAACACCAGAATGATAAAAGAAGAGCAGTGAACTCTTTTAAAACTCACTGCAATTATAACCAAGAGTGTAGAGCTGCTAGTTTTGTCCAAACTTGGAATAGATATAAAATTAGACTTTCTGCAGTTTGACCAGAAGACAACCCTCTCTGAGAGCGATGTGGTTGACATTGGGAGTTTCTGCATGCTTTTCCTGCTCAGTGTAGCTCACCCGTATGTCCCGTGGATCATGGGTATTTTGCCAACATGGGGACAGTCTGTAGGTAGTTCAGTTAGCACAATGGCTTCATGGAGATAACGTTTGTATGACTTATTTGGGTTTATACTTTGTTACTCAGTTAAAAGGGATTATTTGGCTAGCTTTAGTCGTAGTATTTGAGTTTGTGTCAAACCATCCCATCCAATCCTATCCCAGTGTGGGAGACAGAATAAACACTACCCACACCACCTAAAAAAACATTTCCTTAATTCACCACCTGTACCTAATCCAAGAAAACAAGTTGGCCATCTACTGCAGAGAATTGGCCACATGGGTATTCAGGTGTGCCAACAACCTTGATCATAACACAAACAAGACTGTGGAGATTACATTGACTTCCACAAGAACCCAGATGCTCATCTCCCCCTGGTATTCAATAATAATATCTTGTGTAAACAGTTGAGTCAATTAAATACCCTCAGATTGAATGAGAGCATCTTCGAGTTTGACTGAAAGATGCTCCTCCTGTCTCAACACTGGCAGCTCAAACTAACAAATTCCGGTCCGAATTCTTATCAATGAAAATCCGCTCAGTTTCCATTACCGCTTGTCTGGCTCTGCCTCCTCCTCTTCTGAGCAGTTTGTCATTTCTGTGTCTGCTGGCTACCCTCCATCAAACACCTGCATGATTTTAAAGTAAGGGCAAGAGGAAAACATGATTGTTGCTGACTTTGCCCATCTGGGAAACCACCTGTTTGAGATACCGGTTCTGTGCATCAGTGCCTGCACCAGCCGCCACGGCAACCGCTTCTCCCCAATTAAAATTAAGCTCTCACCACAAAAAAACACACACACACACACACACACACACACACACACACACACACACACACACACACACATCACCGTCAGACCGTCAGACTGACTGAACAAGCAAACAAAATCTGCACACGGCTGCTTGTTATTAGATTATTCAAGCTATTTATCAATGTCAGCCACCGATGCATCATTGCTTTCTTTTGTGCTTTACTGCATTCTCAAGTTGATCCCTTTCTGTTTGATTTGTGTTTATAGGATTATGACTGATAATGACGGTCAAGACTGCTGCAGTGTTTCATTGTAGTATGAAGTTGTATTTTGTCTGCACTGTCTGTCAAGTCCTGTTTTTGATATGCAATTATTTTCTTTGTTCCCATCTTGTATTGTATGCATAAACGGGTGCCAAGCCTTTTCTGCAACATACAAACATCATTATTGGTGCATTGAACTGCATTGTACAATTTCAACATGTACCTTATGCATCAATATGTATCACATATATATAAATTGTTTAATTCATGTGAATTTAATATGAGAAAACAACCTGGATTTGTATTATACTTTTGTATGACACGCACATGTTAGAGCACAAGCTATTGTCTGTTGAGTACATGGTGTTCTCAGATGCACTCTGTTTCCACTCTGAAAGCAGTGGTAGAGATTGTAGGTGAGGGACTTGACTTCCTACATTGCTACACACAATGGCAGGGGTAGTGTTTGTCACCACGGAAACCATTCGTTTCTTGGCAACATTCCTATCATCTCTAGCCGACTCTAAAATCAAATCTAATGATGGGATTCCAGCAGTCTGAAAGAAGAAGGCTTTGGCAAGTGTGAAAAAGCACACAGGTGAAATGATGAGGTACAGAAAAACTTTTTTTCTTTTTTGGTCCTTACCCAATGGGTCCATGCAGACTTCTTGCAGCTGCTGACAGGTGGCTGTCAAGACGAAAACCAGACATTTAGGACTGATTCGTGTCATAATAGTCTTAAATGATGAGTGTGAAGAGGGCTAACATGCATCGCCATCACTAAATGTCAACCTTGCAGCAGCCGCTGTAGCCGAGCCACAAGTTGTTTACCCGCATTAGTAATTCACCCACTCACACTGACCTCTGCACCTCTCAAACTGATACATTTTTTTAATTAGCCATTTGTAAGTAACCGTTCTGCCTAAAGAGATGAGGGGTGATCCTCCCAACTACTGCTGCCTCCGTCTACTATCTCAGAGATGCCTGGAGTCAACACTTTAAACCTCCACATCTAAAGAGCCACACTTTTGTCATCTTTATTACTATTTTACATTTATTTTTTAAAATCTGTTTATTTGCATATAATGTTAAGGAAGGTCCTCCCTTAAATACATCTCCCTGCTTATTTCTTCCCTGTAGCGCCATCACATTCCCTAAGGGTAAACCAATTTACATTCTTGTTTTGCTCTTCAGATCCATGCCAGTTTCCATGACAACATAGTTTCACTTTCTCATCCTCTCTGTCTCACTCTCTCTCTCTCTCTCTCCCTCCTCTCTCTCTGCCCGTTCTCTCATTCCCCACTGCTCCTTTCTTATGTTCTCTTGACCTTCCTCCAATGTTTCATTTTCTTTCTCCCCCAAATAACGGGATCCAAAATTCCTCCTCTCCTCTCATTTCCTCACCTAATTGAGCTCATTTCTCTGCTTGCCATATACCAGCAGAGAATAATGGACTCAGATAAGACATATCTCAAGGGGAGGGAGAGGGGGGCAATGGTGGGATAGAATTCACAGCATCTTTTTTGCATTTTCATCATAAAATACAAATGCAGCATACTCTGTCTGCGGGCTGTTTTATTCCCTCTTAAATATCCCCGGGCTGGTCTGTTTGGCAGGAGTGATGCCCAGAGCCTAAAATTATTGAATCAAAACAATGTGCAGCAGAGTATTCTGTCTTTTGATTAAAACAATACTCTTGTTTGGCAATTAGTGTGTGTACACAACAGCAATACACAACTTAAAAATGGACAAAAGAACAATAGGAAAACAAGATTCCTCTGTCGAGTTACCCTATAGGTTTCCTTATGCTTTCATTTAGTTATTCAAACAATAATAAAAAAAAAAGCTTTAACCCTAAGTCCATCCTAATTTGGCATATAACGACAGAATAATGCGGAGTGCAGATCTCTACCCAATGGCATAATTAAAATCTCAAGCTATTTAATTACTCTATGATTAAAAATGTCTGATGCCAACAGGTGTGATGGTGCGTCCTCGTCTGATTAATGCCAGTCCTTTTCTGCCTCGTCTGGAAAAGAGAAGGTCGCGAGGGAAGGTGGTCCGTCTCATGCACGGCTTTGACCAGTCTGCCTGCTCTCACTCCATGTCTACAGGTCAGGGAGTCGCAGCGAGACACCTCTGTGGTTTGTGACTGTTTTCACTGCTCCGTTCTGACCCAGATGGCAGATTTTAGTTTTTTTATTCCCTCTCTCGCTCTCAGTGTAAATCACTGGCAGCCCTCCTCCTCAAGGATTTATGACTGTATGTGTCCTTCACTAATATTCAACTGGTTGCCTCATACAAACTGTTTCTTGTGCATCCCTTTTTTTAGACAAGCAAAAAAAAAAAAAAAAAATGTGTGTGGTCTAACGTGGTCTAGAAACCTACATCCTGGAGATTAGTAAGCAGTGTTAACATCTGGACAAGGGGAGCGTACAAGAAAAGCTCCTCCTGTCTCATGTTCCCTTGATTATGGCAATTAATCTGGTAGGCAGCCAGAAAAGTATGCTGCTCCTACTATAAGTGTTCCTAGCTGTATAAACTGCTGCAGTCAAAGCACATGTGCTCCGTCAGCCTTTTCCCTGAGTGACAACATTAGCTGATCTTCCAACTCGGCTTTAAAAACAACACAGTCGAGTTGTATTTGGAAGAAAAATGCCTGTAAGTTCACTTGAGGGTATGTTGCCAAGCCTACTTCTGCTACCCATACCACCAGAGGGAGTATTCAACTGAAAAAAAAAGAGCAGGTTTAACAGAGCAACAACTGGATCTTCACTCTGAGTAACTTTATAATGGTTCCCCCCCCACCAAACCTAAAGAGTCTGAGCTCAGTTTACAGTGTTCCTCTGCTTCACTTTGGATTTGAAATCACACAGTCCTCCACAGCAGGGTGGTGCCCACCAGAAAATATGATCTGAGATCTGTAGAGAGAGAGCGAGAGAGAGAGAGAGAGAGAGAGAGAGAGAGAGATGGAAATTTGCTGGATAAGATATAATCAGATGGAAATAAAAACGCGTTATATCTCCTATTTTAATTGATTGATTGTCTCTTTCAGGACACACACACACACACACACACACACACACACACGATTTTAAAATCTGCAAGACAACATTTAATTTCAGGGTTTTGACTATTAAATAAATAAAAAAAAATAATCTAAATATCGCTACAATAATTTTAAAGAGAGCGACATAAAATAAAAAAAATTTAAAATCCAGCCAGCACAGAAGTCCGGTATGACATATCAGTACAGTGACATACGGATGCCCGTGTGGCCACACTAATTATTGTCAGCGGCTGCTGGGAGTGATATGGACTCGCAGAGAAATGCAACGTCCTGCCCTTCTACATCTTGAATAGTGGGAGTCATGAACCGCTGCAAGGTGACGCGTCCTCTGATTTCCACCGAAACTTCAACCTAAGACACGGCCCCGCGTTATTTATCACCATCCGAACCCCCTCCATCTCTCTCTCCCTCTCTCTCTCTCCGTCCGTCCTTATCAAAACATCGGGGATCGGGACCATCTTGCGCAGTGGTACGGGCGAGCGGAGCAAGGCGGCGGCGGCGGCGGCGGCGGCAGCAGCGGCGGCGGCGGCGGCGGCGGCCACTCCGGGGAATGTCGACTGTCCGTCAGTCCTGACATCGGCCCTCTTTGTGATCCTCGGACAGCAGGTAACCGGACACAGCGTCTTCAAAACACCGCCACTGCCCAAAAGCATGCTAGCTTGCTCGCGTTATGTACCCGGAGCTGTCTCTCTTTTTTTTTTTTTTTTTTTTGACGTGTTATAACTTTCTCTTCCTCTCCTCCCTTGTTTATTTTTTTTTAATTTTCTTTTTTAAAATTAAGTCTTCGGTGGAAGAGGAGGAAGAGGAGGAAGGGGGGGCAGCTCACCTCGAAAGCCAATAACAAAAGTTCATAATCCCGTTAGCTAGCACGGGTTCGCTTGCAGATGTGTGCTTCGGCGGCGTCCGTATTTTTTTTTTTTTTTTTTTAACAAGCAAGCAGCCTAGCGAAGACTTGAATTAGCATGCTAAGTTAGCCCCGTGGACCTGGCTGTCGCAGCAAGTCGACCGGGGTTCACACCAGGGGCATGTGTCCTTAAATTCTCCTTACTAACAAAACACGGGGCTTGCTCCACTTTTCTTTTCCCCTCCTCCTCCTCCTTTTTTTTTTTTTTTTGTTTTCCGCCTATAGGAACATTTTCAATCCAGATCCAGATGTGTAAATTACTAATATTAGCTTGTCAGGGCTAATCTGACAGACGCAGCCGGAGCAGCATATGAATGGTTATATATATGTGTGTGTGTGTGTGTGTGTGTGTTAATTATAATTATATTAGCTGCACGTAAAAGCTTAAGTTTCTACCTTATGTTGGTTAAAGTTAGGTTGCACTAATAGTCTGTAGCACTATTAGAGCTGTAGTTTTAATTTTATAGCTAAATGTTGTCACACAGACTGTAAAAAGAGGTGTTATCTCACACACACACACACACACACACACACTTTTCCCTGTTTCTTTCTTTCTCTCTTTGTGTGTGTGTGTGTGTGTGTGTGGTCTCAGTCCTCAGTAAACTTATGACATCCCATGACCCTGCTGGTCCAGCCTGTTGAATGTGGTGTGTTAAACCTGTTCACGGAGAGAGATACTGCAGCTTTTCTCTTTCCGTGTGTGTGTGTGTGTGTGTGTGTGTGTGTGTGTGTGTGCACAGGCGCTTCATGCTGTTTGTGTATCTACAATATCCTGGTGAGCTATATATAGCACCTAACAGAGTTTGCAACTTGATCCGAATTGTCTTTCAGAGCCACAGCACACTGCGCGTTGCTTTCAACTGGAAGTGAAATTTCTCTCTAGTTCAGAGCATCTTTTATCTTCCCTGACTTTCTTGTACAAGAATAGTCCACCGCCTACCTGTAGGCCTTATTTTTTTTGTGCAAGCAGGTTATATTTTTCTGTACGTGTATGTGCTCAAATATTTTAAAACATGGATATTTGAGTAAGCGTTTGTGAAACACTTTGATTAAACAAGTGACAGAAGCAGGCGATGCTGAAGCAAGTCTTCCTGTCACAATAAGAAGGCCTAATGTATCTATAAATGTACAGTAGGGGCCTGCCTCTTCTGTTGATTTGAGTGAATAAGCACGTGGAAGCCACTGCGTGTCCGCACACACTGCTCCAGTGCAAGCAGAGACAGATTTTGGTGAGCCGCTGACAAAGTGTTTCTTATCTGGTGAGGTGATCTGAGAACTTTGGGGTTAGTTACAGGGAGCACCGCTAAGGTGAGCTATGAAAGAATAATGTGATATTGAGAACGTTTCCACAGGACAGAATATACTAAGGCGCTTAAGTACTGGGCTCTATAGGCCCCCGGTGGAAAAAAAAAAAAAAAAAAAAAAGAAGCAAGGCCCCAGTCTAATCCCTGAATAGAAAGCATTTATGGCATTCTTATGACATTTGTGTTATGGTTCACATTAACGTTGCAGTGTCTGTTGTGGTTCTGTGTCTCTCTGTGTGCTTATCTTTTGCATATTTTTGCATATGGTCTCTGCACACTGCTGCTGGTCCTCAACCTTTCAAATACATTAGTCACACCAGTCCTACTCAGAGCTGTGTGTTCAGGCTTTTTGTTTTTTGGTGTAGTTTGGTGAGAACAACCCCATTTGAACTCAGGTGTGCACCAGATAACTGTGGTGCTGTCTTGGTCTTTTTTTTTTTTTTTTTTACAAGCAAACTGTGGTGCTGCTAGCTACAAGTGAGAATGTAATATGAACCAACAACAGGATTTAACCCTGAGATACTGTACACAGTTTCATGTCTGCAGGAGGACGGATGTTTGTCAGCACTTACTTATGATTGCAAGGCCTTGTTGTCTTACAGTCAAGTGTATCCTACACGATAACAGATGTACTACAGGGAGAGGAGTCTTGATTTGTTTTGACTCCCACCATTCTGGGAAATTCTCCTAATATCCAATAAATGAGATACTTGTGGGTCCGTGTGACTTTTGTTTACAAGCTGTGTTAAACTACGACGACTCAAACAGGGAAATGCATCAAAGCAAACTATATGTGTGACCACAGGCGTGGTGATCAATCTTTTTTTTTTTTTTTTTTACAAACAGTAAATGAACTAGGTAAGCTAAGTCTGCTTTATGAAAGAAGAATGTGGGAACTGAGTGCAGCAGTTTTCATGTGGGAGATAACAAACACAAGTCTTGTTGAGGATTTAGTGAATTTCATGCTCGCTGTCACTACACATCACACTGCATTTCAAAGTGAGATCACAAAATCACAAGATCACGCAGGAATCCATCTTGCCAGGCCTCTCAGTCTTTGTGTTTGTGGCCCCGCACAGTGTTACCGGACCAACCGGCGTCCTGTGAGGAACTGAGCTACGGGCGCCGTTAAACGGTGTGCGTGACAACTTGTGGCGAGAATGACTTTTTGCTTTGAAAACAACAATGGCGGCTGCTGAAACGCGTAGTTGCTGTTAGCGTCATCAGTTATATCAGAACTGGTGAGGGTTTCTTCAGTGAAAGTAGAGCAGAGAACTGCACTGAAGGCTTTTTCTGCATAGAAATGAGTTTTTCTGCTCTCCGGTAAGAGTTTGACTATGTTATATTGTTCATTGATCTGACTGGTTGAAGTTTGTTCGCGATAGACTGTGATAGACAGATGGTTTCATGCAATCACCTGCCAAGTTTATTTTGAAAGTGCCTGCTCTTTTTCCAAACAGTTTCCAACGATGGCTTCCCAGATGGTTGTATGTGTGTAACAAACCATCTGGCACAGTCAGGTTAGTGTTTGGTAACTGTGCAGTATGTATTCTTTGGCTGAAACTCCCCCATAAAGTGTTTTGAACAGAGCAACTAACAGTGCCATTCATATAACCCCTAGCAGGGCTAAAAATGCTTGTAACTGACACGTCCTGGTGATAAAAGTGTGTCACCTCTCTGGGTGAAGGAGTGGGTTTTGTCCGAGTTTTGTATAAGGGTGTCTGATACCAGTTAGGGCATAATGCTGCTGGAGAATCAATGCACAACATCTTAATTCACGCACTAATTCATAGAGCTCTGTGTGGCCTTAATAGTGTATACCATTATTCTCTCTAAGCAGTGTGTATTGCAAATTGTATTACATACAGATGCACAAACAAACGGGCTATAAACAGGCTCCTCTATATCCGGATGCTGCATCTGTCACCGCCTCTATCTTCTTAAGCTTCCTTGTCCTATGCTTTTGTAATCATGCCATTACGTACACGTGGTATTTAATATTAAAGTCATTATTCTACCCAGAACAATAGTGCGTCCATACTGTAAATTAACCAGCAACGGCCAAACATGTGCAAACACTTTGATGATGTGGAGGTAATTTTCTACTTTGTTTATATCCATTTTTTCCCCCTCTTTTTGTGGCTTTCTTTCATCTCTCTTCCATCTTAAGTTTCTCACAGCTTGCATCATTGCTTCAGGTCAGGACACCTTTATTTTTTTTAACCTTTATTTATTCAGGGAAGGTTTGCTGAGAGGAAGCCTCTCTTCTGCAGGAACGCCCTGATCACATTTGCACAGTTAGTCACATTCATAGAAGCTGCCCAGTAGAACCACAGTCTGATCTGCTGGCCACTGAGCAGCTCCACTGAAGCGGTTGGGGTTGAGGGCCTTGCTCAAGGGTACCTCAGTGCTTTCCCTACCCAGATTTATTCTGCCGGTCCGGGCCATGAGCTCGCTTCTTTAACTTTTAGGCCACCCCTGCTTACTTCTACCTTTTACCACTTTTATTCCGTTATGACTCCTTGAACGTAATACGAGGGCCATGTGTAGGTTGGATTGTGAATTGGACTGGTGTCAATTTGGACGTTTCTGTAAGACAGTGGTTCCCAACCTGGGGGTTGGCATTTATGATTGTTAAAAATTATGAATAACAAATAATACAGACAAAGAATTGTATAAAAAGTTCCCTAAACAGAAAACAATCTGCTTAAAATGTATCCAAATCACTCCATCAACACAAACTTGCAGTTCACTATTTGGGTTCATGGTACAGTTTTGGTTATAATGTGAAGTATGTCACTTAAGCATGATAGAAAAGGGGTCCCTTTAGGAAAAAGATTGGGAACTACTGCTCTAATCAGTCCCTACAGGAAGGTGCGATGTTGCGATCAAAACAATTAACGCAAATTCTACCAAGTCCTGCGAGTTCTGTACGGGAACTTTGTCCAGTCATTACAACATTTCTGAAATAGGATTTCCTGCTCAAAACATTGGGCCATACGTCACCAAACTCTCTTCCTTGTTTCTATTTGTGAAGGGACTGGGGTTGAGCCAGTGCTGGAATGAGTATCGGGTACAGATAATGTACTTTTTACTTTAAGTACAAGTATCAAGTATCAAATAAGTAAAATATGTCTAGCTGTACTCGTAAATATACCAACTTTTTATAAAATGAACTTTCTGGAAATAACTCTTTCAGGCTTAAATGAACAACTTCCCCATAGCCCCGGCCGCTTACGGTACAAATACAGATCATTTAGTTGGTTAAACAGATACAGATAATGGTGTACTGGCTCATCCGTAATACGAACCATGCAGACGTGTGTCTCACATTCACCCTCCAAACAGTGCGATTTTATCCCACTGGACAAGTTGCCTTAAAAATGTTTTAACCTAAA